TATGTATATGTATATGTATATGTGTTCCGGTGAAGGTGCTGATAGGACTGCCGACAAGTTGGACAGAAGGTTTAGGGCTGTGTCATGTTCAGGGGGCAGTACCGTCAGGGACCTACTGTAATGCGCTAGGGCATACTGTTGAGGTTCATGGTCCAGCAGCCGCTGAGCAATGCGAGGCAGAAGGGAGCACAATGGAGCAATATCTGTCGAAAGTTCAGGAGCTAAGATGCTAGCCCAAACTGCCGGCATCACGATTCTTCACGACTGGGCGCAGCTGGCGATAGTCACCCACCAGAACCTTGCTCACAATGTCACTACATGCAGCAACATGCAGAGGCTCACTCCCTCTGAGCACGTGGCAACTCTCTGCACAGCTTTGCTCAAAGTCAAGGGGCAAAGAGTCTGGCAAGGTCTGGAAAGAATCTCCCCGCAGCAGTTGCTTCTTGGTGTATCGCCTCTGGCTCGGGCGATGTGCCGCATTCGTCCACCACCACCTGCCGCAGCTCTATGTTCTCCTCAGCAGATCATCACTATCAGAACAACAACTCAAGCAGCACCAGCGTCCTTCTGCAACAGCTGCGGGATCCAACCCCGGCGACAGGAACAGTTGGTTGCAAGGAGGATGTTGCAGCCTGCCATCACAGATCCAGATGCCACCTCTGCTCTAAGCACGTGCAAAAAACCTGCTACAAACCGATGCGACTCGCCAGCCAAGATCGGCACGATGTCGGGACATGGCAGATCTGAATCAGAAATCAGATGGATGAAGTCATGCCAGAGGGACTTTGAAACTCAAATGCCCGAGCTTCTTGTCGTGCTTCCAAGTATGAAGTCCTGCAAAATATCCGTAGAGTGCATCGGCAACGAAGACAGGGCCCACGCAGCATCTCGTGCACCCCTTGCCCAATTCAGGACTCCCGGCAGTGCTTTGACACACTTTTCTCTGGCGGGTAAAGGCTGCTGCCTTTTGCTTTGAAACGAGAGCAGCAAAGAACCTCATTGCGACTCTTGCGCCGCTCGGTAGCCGACCACTGTTGGGCGGTGACCATCCTGCCTTCTTGGAAAATCTAGTGCATTTTGCGGAGAAATTCCACTAGAACTCGCTGGGCTTGAGGCAAGCAAACCCAGCGTTGTTGCCCTGGACGGGAGCCCGAGCCACAGCGCTGCTGCGGCTGGCTACATAATTAAAGCGGTTTCTTCGGCGGACCCCCTGGGTACGAGCAGATAGGCAGAGCATGTTCAAAGGACTCGTCTTGGCCTGGGTCCATCGGCTGGAAACGTCTGGAGGCTGAGGGCTTTCATATACTATATATTATACACTATAATATATATATATATACATATATATATACATATATATATACATATATATTATACATTATATAATATTATATATTATATATGATATATTATATATGATATATTATATATTACATTCAGAAAGAAAAAGAAGGACAGAAGACGAGGACCCGGCCGCCCAGCGGCTCTCCAAGCCGCTGCTCAGCTCACTTGCGCCTCGGCGGGTGCGCAGGCGCGTTCGATTGCTTTCTATGGGTGCTAGACGCCACACGATAATCTAGTATTTTCGTAATCTTACAGTTTAGGGTTCAGGGTTTAGGGGTAATCTTACAGCATACTAGAATACTGAAGATGAAAAAGCAGCTGGGGCCGGGGCGGCATGAGGTCCGGATCCTCAGCGCTCCCTCGCACCTCGCATGCCCGAAGATTCGAGCCTCACCCAGAACCGGCTTCGCTTAGCCTCCCCGGCCTTGAGGAATGCTTGCACCGGATCATCGATGCTGCTTCGAAGCACGCCGCCAAAGGTGTCTAATTCGGTGAGATCTTCATCTTCGACCTTGAACCAAGTATGCTAGCATGGGAAGTCTGCATGCCGCATCATGCTGCGTGCTGAAGATTGCTTTCCAAGTTGCGCTTTCCGACTTTGGCAACACACTGGGGTCTGACCTGAAGCGCCCATGTTGCTACCACAAAATTTGCTGGGGAGCGCAGACAGGTGCAAGCACTCAGAAGAACTAGGGGCTGAACACCGAACTGATGTGGCCCCACGTGCTTCCTACAGGGACCAGTGAGCAAGTCCCCATGTTACATATATATATATAGAGAGAGAGAGGGAGAGAGAGAGAGATATATATATATGTAGATATGTGTATATATATATATATACATATATATATATATAGGTATATGGGCCTACAGGTGCTCGGCTCGGCCTGTGAACTGGTAGGCAGGGTGACTGTCACTGACCTCCACAACCCTGCGCTTCTTCTTCGCAAGGGGCCGGACGACCTGATGTGGCGCGCAGATGATTTCCATCCGAGCTTCATGAACACGATGCAAGCACTAGCTGTGACTACGATTGCCGGGCGCATCCAGAATCAGCTCGGGATGCCACACCCGGAACATCAAACTTGGCATTGTCGATGGCACCGATCTCATGCAAATCTTCAATCCTGTCCATGGACATGCCTGGCAGCAAGGACGGAACTCCTCAAAAAGCCTAAACGAGCGAAGTGCTGATGACTGTCTGGTGCGACTCCGCTTATACAAATTGCATAGAAAAAACTTCTCCATGATCCGCCTGAGTCAAGCAGAACCTGTTCTGTGTGCTCACCAACACGTGGGGGAGGAAGGCGGTAGTCCACCTGTGGACGGAGCTGCAAAAGAATTTGGCACTCTTGGAGGGTAACTCCCTCCCAGAAGCCCCCAAAAGCATCGGCCCGCCTTGGTGCGGGAGAACTTCATCGGCGAGCCGATGAGCGAGACCGAATCACTGAAGCCAGGGAGGTTCATCTGAATTTCCATGTCTCGCGACTGAACCTGGGAAGCCCGAGAAATTGGAAGCTCCCATGCCCCTCTGGCTGTTCTGCGTTTGGCCGCGTTGTCCTCTGAGGTGCCGGACCGAAGTCCTCTTGTCTTGGAAGTTTCAGAACAGTTTATCATGATGATGATGATCATCATCATCCTGATCATCGGTTGCGTTCGGACTTAGACACGTTCTGCCTTGAGTTGGCAACGCCGGCAACGCCCTGCTAACATCACTGGCATTAGAGCTGACAATTTACTCACAAAAAACGCCGAGAGAGTCAAGCACAGGACTATCGCATCTTGCAGCGGTAGATGCTTGTTAAAGCTGATCTGACAGTTCGTTGCATTGCCCACAAAAGTCCCCTCTCAGACACTGTAGGGTGGCCAAGCAGGTTGGCTGCTGGACTGCTGCAGCTTTAGACTCACTGCCCAGTGGGTGTGCATCTGTCTGTGTGTGTGTGTCCATATGGCAGGCAAGAGGCATGAGGGTCGGCGAAAACTTCATCAAGGTGAAGGATGGGAGCACAGCCGACCATCTCCTTCTCCAACTTCTCCAGCCACCAAAGCTTCTCGTGCTGCGAAGTGATCTCGTTCAGAGTCGGCGTGACAACATCCCTGTGAACGACGCGGGCCTTCATGGTGTTGAACCTCTCGTCCTTCATGAGTTCCTCTCGACCAGCCACCTTGCAGAAGCGCTCGAACTGATCGTTGTTGGATGCCGTCAGGATGAAATAGCCTCAGCACACTCAGCACTCCGCTCTGCAAACCACCTGCGATCAAAGCTGAACAACGGACAACGAAAGGCAGAACACAAAAGGCAACATGAAGACGAAACAGAATGCTACGAGCAACCATCCTTGGCTGGCATGACCTGGTATGGCACCACGTTCGGGTGGTTGTTGCCCACGCGCTTCTGCCGCTGCTTCTTGGCCAAGTAGTTCATTCCCTGATTCGCAAGGAGCGCCACTGCCACATCAAGCATTGAGATGTCCACGTGCTGACCCAATCCGGTCACGTGCTTGTTGTGCAAGGCTGCCAGAATCCCAATGACCTGCAAAAGTACACTTTCCTGGGCTCCCATAAGCTTGAGAAGACATGGGAGCTGAGGCTCTGGCACCATGCAGCCCTGCCGTTAAGTCGAAAAGAGACAGCCCAGTCTTCATCGGCGCACCGTCGGGTTCTCCGGTCAGACTCATGGAGCCGCCCATCGCCTTGAGAACTACCAGAACTCCTAAACCCCTATACCATATACATATGTACAGACATACGTAGGTTCATGTACTTGTTTATCTATTTATTGATTTGCTTGATTTTTGTTTGTGTGTTTGTTGGTTTGTTTGTTCGTTTGCTTGCTTGCTTGCTTGGTTGTTTGTTTGTCTGCTTGCTTGTTTGCTTGTTTGGTGACTGTTTGTTTGGTTGTTTGTTTGCATGCTTGTTTGCTTGCTTGCTTGCTTGCTTGCTTGCTTGCTTGTTTGCTTGCTTGTTTGCGTGTTTGTGTCTTTGTTCAATTCTTTGTTTGCTTGTTTGTTCGCTTGCTTGCTTGCTTGCTTGCTTGCTTGGTTGGCTGGCTGGTAGGCTGACTGCCTGGCTGGCTAACTGCTGGCTGGCTAGCTGGTTGGCTGGCTGGCTGGTTGGTTGGTTGGCTGGCTGGCTGATTGGTTGGTTGGTCGGTCGATTGTTTTTGTTTCTTTAGATAGTTAGTTACTTGGTTAGTTACTTAGTTAGTTAGTTAGTTCGTTCGTTCGTTAGTTCGTTCGTTAGTTAGTTAGTTACGTGGTTGGTAGGATGGTTGGTTGGTTGGCTGGTTGGCTGGTTGGCTGGTTGGCTGGTTGGCTAGTTAGTTAGTTAGTTAGTTAGTTAGTTAGTTAGTTAGCTAGTTAGTTAGTTAGTTAGTTAGTTAGTCAGTCAGATAGTCAGTCAGTCAGCTAGTTAGTGCTAGCTAGCTAGCTAGTTAATTAAGTGGTTCGTTCGTCTGTTCGGTTTGCTAGTAGTTAGCAAATAACTAGTTAGCTAGTTAGCCAGCTAGCTAGGTGGCTAGTTAGCTAGTTAGCTAGTTCGCTAGTCAGCTAGCTAGTTAGCTAGCTGGCTGTCAGATAAGTAGTTAGTTAATTAGTTAACTATTTAATTAGTCAGTTAGTTAATTAGTTACTGATAACAGTTAGTTAGCTAGTTTTAGTTAGTTAGTTAGTTAGTTAGTTGGTTGGTTGGTTAGTTGGTTGGTTGGTTGGTTGGTTGGTTAGCTAGTTAGTTGCTTAGTTACTTAGTTAATTAGTTGGTTGGTTAGTTAGCTATTTAGGGTATTAGTTGGTTGCTTGGTTATTTGGTTTCAGTTAGCCACCCACTTAGTCAGCCAGCCGGTTAATGAGTTGGCCAGCTAGTTAGTCAGTCAGTCAGTCAGTCAGTCAGTCAGTCAGTCAGTTAGTTAGTTCGTTAGTTGGTTAGCTAGTTAGTTAAGTACTTTGCTTGTGTGTTACTTTGGTATTGTTGTTGCTGTTGCTGGTGGTATTGTAATTGCTATTTTTGTTGTTAGTGTTAGTATCACTATCCGTGTCGGAACTAATTATTATTGTGAATAAGATATATATATATATGTATATGCACATGCGCATATATATATATATGTGTGTGTGTATATGTTGTATTGTTATACCGTACACGATTGTAATATACAACTGTGCTATATCATGTTTAGTCTATCTGTATGTGTGCATATATATATATATGTATGCATATACATACATATACACACCCATATAAGTCCTAAACTCTACATCCTAATGCCCTGAAGAAAGCAGTTGCCAGGCCTGGCCTGGATCAGCATGTCATAAGCAGGTCTCTTGCTGTAAGGTCCACTGTGGCCAAAGCCAGTAATGCTGCAATAGATCCTAGGGTCGCACACGACCAACCCTATACCCTAAACTCACCCCCAAAACCCTAAACCCCTAAACCCCAAACCTCAAACGCGAAACCCTGAACCCTAAACTTCGCGAAGCCGTGGCATAGCAGTTGAAGAAGATCCATGCATCGACAGCAAGAAAACACTGCTCTTGCGTGGCCAGAATCAGCTGAGGGAAGTCATCCTTCAGCTGGTCGTATCCCAAACCATACCTTCGCAACAATTCAGCAGACCACCGAAGAACGATACTCGTGGCGGCTTTTTTCGGGGGCCGACATTGAGCCGAGAAGCTTTGCCAAGCCACCGGCTTTGAAGTTCTCGATGACGATATCAGCACTTTGCAGCAGGTGTTTCACGACATCTTGGCCTTCTTTGGTCTTGAAGTCGACAGCTACACTGTACTTGTTCCTGTTGCAGCTCGAGAAGTATGCTGCCACATCTGAGTCCTCGCCGGGGCCCTTCTGCAGAAAGGGCGGCGCATAACCTCGGATTCGGTTGCAGAAAGGGGGTCTTGTATTTCACAAGCTTGCATCAAAGAGACGTCTGGTGTCATCACCGGACTTGGGTGCTTCCACCTTGATAACCTCTGCTCCCATGTCGGCCATCAGCATTGTTGCCGATGGTCCTCACCCAGGGTACAAGATCTGCACTAAGATTGCGTGGCACCTGCTGGCAACTGCACAACGCTTGAAGCTGTCGGCCTGCCAGGATGCGGGACAGGTCCAAAATTCGTATTCCTCCACAGCCCATCAGTTCCGTACTCTTTGCTATCACTGCAGGACAAATTCAATTCAGAAACGACACCCTGGAAGACACTACTGAGTCTAGCTCCTGAAAGCGGGCCGGTAGCAGGGCCGGTAGACAGAGAGAAGCATCTCGAAGTGGCTAAGCGGCACAGATTCACGCTCCTCGACCTGAAAACTTGCATCATTGCCTCGGTCGGTTAGTGTTGCTGTCGACTGCAATCAGCTGAACAGCAACTCCAAGATGAGATCATGACCCTTGCGTCGGTTCTCCGAACGGACACGCAGGCGCTCACCAGGAAAGAAGTTTTGGACCACAAAAATGGGCTTCGGCAGGCAATGTACTGGGGCTACTGAAGATACTTCCGACTTCTTTGATGTTGTTTGTTGCCGATTCATGCTTTCGAAAATCGCCGATCAATGCACTTCAAGAAAGCATGAAGATGTTCCATGAGTACGAGTGCATGAATGTGCACGAAGGCTGTTTGCCAGAACTGCGCAAGCTGCAAGAACCGTAAGAACTCAGAGCTTCAGGTCGTTAGCATTCGGCTTCTCCCTTTGGGAGGCACGAATTGCAAGCAATGCCTGCCATGTCGACGGCCTTTGCCCGCAACACGTCGACTCTTCAAGTCGATAATGTCACCTCACCACGCGTTCTCTGTCAATTTTCTGAACCGGGCTTGCCTTTGTACACGAGGTACAGGAATAACATCGCTTCATGCACTCAGGAAGTGTTAGAGGAATGCTGACAACCATCACCTTGGGCACGCGGAAATCATGTGTGAGCCCAGGCTTTCTCTCAACAACAGCAGGAACTTAGCCTTCAGGTGACCGTGACTATAGTAAGATGGTACTGATGATCGCGACGACAATCATAACGATGCTGATGAGGAAGCTTGTTCCAGCGATTCTTAACAGCAGTTGCAGCACTGGCCCTCCAGTAGCAGGAAGGCCACCGCCAGCGTCACGACGGCGTCGGCTACATCCCCTGCTCCATCTACTCCACGCTGCTGCTGCTGCTACTACTACTGCTGCTACTACTACTACTACTACTACGACGACGACGACGACGACGCTGCTGCCATTGCTACTCTTATTCTATTCCTGTTGCCATTGTTACCGCTACTGCTACCGCCGCCCCTCATCTCACTCTTACTCTCTGGCTCTTGGCGTAGCTCTTAGACATTGCTACATACGACCTACTACTTACTTACTGTTCAAGCCCAGTCTTGATTCGTACTCTTGCTCTCACTCATACTCATACTCCTGCCCTTACTCTTACTCTTAGTTGTCAGCAGCCAGAAGCGAAAGGACACCGACTAATCATATACTATACTATAATATACTATAATATACTACAATAAACTAGAATAAACTATAATATACTAGAGTATACTATAATATACTATAATATACTATACTATACTATAATATACTATAATATACTATAATATACGATAATATACTATAATATACTATAAAACTATAATATAACAGCAGAGGTGGCGGCTGAATCATCTTGGCTTTGCAATCTGCTCTTCAGAGTCAGCTCCCGCTCTTCCGCTTCCTGCATCCGCCAGTGCTCCAGCAGCAAGGGTGTAGGGTTAAGGGTTAAGGGTTAAGGGTTTAGGGCTTAGGGCTTAGGGCTTAGGGTTTAGGGTTTAGGGTTTAGGGTTTTGGGTTTTGGGTTAAGGGTTGCTACAAGGGCTTCTATAAGGGCTAGGCTAAGGGGAACCACAAATTTACACAGCACTTGCAGCTTTGGAACCGCATCTCCTTGAGTTGTCTTTCAGCAATGGCCAGCTGTTGCTGAAGCTGTCGGAAATGCTGCGCATAGCCTGCACGCTCGCGACGACTTGAACTGCCCAGGCCTGCAGCTGAACACACGGCTGCCTTGCTCCGTCAGGCTCGGTGCCTGGCGACGGCTGGCAGAACATCCGAAAAGCCGAGTAACAGGAGGCTGTGAGGACAAGAATAGTGACATTAATCACAACAATAATAATCATAGTAATAATAGTAGTAATAAGATGAATACAAGATAAGTAAGGTCCCGGCATTCAGAATCGCTTCCTGTGATGTGCGACTTAGCCAACTGTCCTGCAGCACGTCGTCAGCGGAAAGCCGCTTCCTTGGCTGCGATCACGGAAGAACGTCTCTAAGGAACGTCTCTTGTTTCTCCAAACGGCTGGTCGCTTCTCCTTGGAGACAATGTGGAGACCCAGAAGCAGTTGCTTCGCAGCACCCAAATCATGAAGCAAAGAAACCCTGTCAAGACTCTCATGAAAAACAGTTCAAGCGTGAAGCACGGTAAGAATGCTGGGCAGATGCAACACGCACGCTGAACAGACGCAAAGCCAACCATTTCAATCCGTCAGTGAGATTGACCGTCCCCGTGGAGACTGCGATGCTGACTACGGTTTAGGGCTCCGGGATTCCCTAAACCCTAAACCCTAAACCCCTAAACCCTAAAACCCTAAACCCGGGATTCGTTGCCTCTGCGTAGATGTCGCGCTCGGAGGCGGCTCGGCCACAGGGCCACGATCCCAGACTCAAGACACACACACACACACGTGTAGACGGCCGAGTTAGGTTCAGCAATAAAGGGCCTGGATGACTAGATTGATTAGATTAATTATTTGATATGGTTTTGGGGTTATATTATACTATGGCAATCTATAAGGAGCTGCTTCGAGGAGCAAAGTATATCAGAGGCTCCAGAGATTTGCTGAGGCCAAGCTGCTCGATGTCAGGGCAGACCATCCGCTGACACAGGCTTCGCGCTTCCGGCGCCGCTGCTTGGAAGGCGCCTCCCATGAGCCCGCCCAACCTGCAATGCAGGGTTTAGGGTTTAGGGTTTAGAGGTTTAAGGTTTAGGGGTTTAGGGGTTTAGGATGGTTTAGGATAGTTTAGGATGGTTTAGGATGGTTTAGGATGGTTTAGGGGTTTAGGGGTTTTGCTCCCAAGGGGCATTGAGGCGCCGAAGTCCAAGGTGCCGGCATAGAGCTTCTCCATGTCCAGGACTTGCTTCGAGTTCCCTTTTGTCTTGATGAAGGGATGGCGGCCGCCGGAGACGAGCCTTTGAGTCTTTGAGTTTGGAGGTTTAGGGTTTAGGGTTTAGGGTTCGGTCCTAGGTGCATGTGCAGTGTACAGCCCGCAGCCCAGACGTCCACCGGATGTCCATAACCTTTGCTCCCCTTCTTCAGGAGGTGCTGCTCTGGCGCCATGTAGGCTGGTGTGCCGACATCCTCTTTGCTCGTTTCATCCGCCCGGAGGAAAGTGGCAAAGCCGAAGTCAGAAAGCTTCAAGAGGCCAGACGAAAACATGAAGTTTCCAGGCTTGATATCACGGTGGCCTAAGCCAGTCCACTTCTAGCGCTTTCCCTGCAAGCTCAGCTGTCACTCCGACCTGCATCCGAGCAACAGATGCCTCTTGCGTGCAGATGGGCGATCGCGGCACAGATCTGCCTCGGTGTAAACATTTCCCTGAGGTCGCCGCGTCGGAGTTTAGGGTTTCAGGGTTTGGGGTTTAACCCTAAACCCTAAACCCTTATAGGGTTTCAGGGTTTGGGTGCCACAGCTCAGCTCGCTCCCTTCGAACCCCTTTTTCTCAGCAGCGGGCCGCGTCCAGGCGCCGGCTTCCACCTCGCGAAGCTGCCATCCTGACAGAAAAAGGCACTCTGAGCGCTTATATTATATGATATTATGTTGTATTATATTATATGATTGATATTATATTATAGTATAGTATAGCATGCTATATTATAGTATAGTATATTATGCGTTTCAGCCGCTCTTTTTGGCCGCAGTTGGCCTTGCTCCTTGAGCTTGTCATCTAGGTCGCCTCCATCACAGTACTCCAGAACCTTGTGACTTCTGCTGTTTGAAGCCTACAACACACGACACTCGACATGCGACTGAGCTGGGAGCAATCGAGATATTCTGACTGTCCTCGAAATATGTATACAACTTGGTGACATTTTCATGATCACAGGCTCTGAGTATATCAATCTCCAGTTGGATTTCCGAGCGTTTTGCCCCCTGCCAGTATGACTGAAGCTTGTCGATCTGCTTCACAGCCACGAAGTGGTTGGTCTTCTTGTCGACGGCCCGCCACACTGTGCCAAAACCACCCTGTCCAAGCTTCACCTTCTGCTGAAAGTACCTCGGCTGACCGAACTCTGCAGATCGTAGCTTTGAAGAAGACGTGGTCACATGCCACCAGGTTTCGCATCATCCACGCTTTGCCCGATGCCCATTCACTTTCGGGCACCGTCAAGCTCCAGAGGCTCCAGCCGTGGTCCGGAGATGAAGACCACTTGGCTTGGCCATTGCACCGGATCAGTTTGAAGGGTTCAGCGACTTGGAACGCTGTGGCAGGAAGAATCGAAATACTCCTAAACCGGCTATGAGTTCAGTTCGATGTTAGATCGATGTGCACATGGAGGCATCATGCTTGCCGTGCTTGCCAGTGTCCTGTCGCATGAGCCAAGAAGGTGGAGGACAGCGGCTCTGGAGCAGCAAACTGAAGAGTGCAGCTTTGAAGTTACCCCTACCCCTAGCCCCAGTAACACCTCACGAACTTCCAGCCACATCAAAACCATGCAGAAGCGGGAGGACAGCGCTTTTGCAAAGAGTCAACGGTACTCGGAACAGAATCAAAGCTTCGCAAGTTCAGCTCACTTCTGGAAACTACAGCAGTGCTGCATGTCCTTCTCGTCAGCTGGTAAGAGCTTCTATAAGCATCGCTGATCACACCAAAGTGACATCTTCCACTTCTTCTTGCTTCAAAGTCACTCTGGCAGGACAACATGCTCAAGAGCGGATACTCCTATCACTCCAATAGGATGCAAAAATCCCGGGAGCCAAGCTCACCATCCGGTGGAGAGTTCAACGTGCACACCCGCAGAATCCACAGAGACATGCTTACAGGCAAACTAGGCTCGAATCACAGGACCAGGGATGCAGGTGCAGCTGTTGAAAGCCCCGCAAGCATTTTGGGATGTCGACCCACAAGAAGAGGCAGAACCAAGTAGCCAAAGACTGTTGCACTGTGTCATGGGAGACAAAGAGTCTTGGCCGCTGCCACAGTCAGCAAGAGGAACCGAAAATGAACAGAATCCTGGCACTTCCAAAGAAGCTGCCGAGCTCAACTTCGCTGTTGGCACATCGTGATTGAAATAAACGGAACTTGATATCCCCGTTTGTGTCCCCGGCGTCTCACTTTCGCCAGGCCTCTCTCGCAGCGTAGTCCACCTGCCCTGTCTCAAGACGGAGACACAAGGGGTTTGGGGCTTAGGGCTTAGGGTTTAGGGTTTAGGGTTTTGGGGCTTAGGAGTGAAGAAAAACCCTTTTCTCAAGCTGCAATCTCCTGGATTGACCAAGCTGATGATTGTATTGTGAATCATGTGATTGATACTTATACTTCTATTGGTAATTGATAGCAATAATCTGCGCAATAATAGCAATAACGATGGTAAGAATCCGAATAGTACTAATCATAGTCAGTGGTACTAAGAGTAGCCATAGCAAGAGTGGCCCCTGTTGCACCTTGCAAGTACTCGTGCAGAGCTGGAGCCAGGCCAATGATCTCGAAGGTTGATGATGCTCCACGTGCCGCCTGCAGAAGACAAGAGTATAGCATAGAATAGAGTATAGCATGGTATAGCATAGCAGCGAATAGTATGGTATACTATACTGTACCATGCTTTCCGACGTTATATTGTTGAACAATAGTATGTTACACACTACTAAACTCAGGGCCAGCAAGTCGCGTCAGAACCCGGGTCGACTCATTCTAAACTAATCTTCACCGCAGACCACGCAAGAGATCCGTTTAAGGTCACTCTCGGCACCTGGTGCTCACGGAAGATCTCGCACGTCTCGGGTACACTGTCCTCAGCTTCGCGAACAAGACACGCACCATCATGGCTCCCTCAAAATCATACTGCCTGCAAGGTCAAGGAACGGTAATGAAGATTTTCTCGAAGCCAGCACCCTCGAACTTTTTCCATGACCTGTCTGGGCCCAGTGCCAATGACGAAGCTCTGAAGAGATGAGGACAGGACACCAGTGGGTGGGCCCACAAGGCTGCTGTCAAGACTGAGGGCCGAACCCAAGAGGGAAGACACCGTGAGTAACGAAGACCGAGACCTTCTTAAACTGTCATGAACATATAAAGACTCCCTCTTGACTGTAGCTTCCCCTAAACCCTAGACCCTAAGCCCTAAACCCTAAGCCCTAAACCCCAAACCGACTTTGCTAAGGAGGCGACCTTCTTCGCTCCCCGCTTCGCAAGCTCTTCCCTGCAAGCCAGGACTGTGCCGCCTCCAGGGGATGACAGAGACATCTTCGACACGACCCGGTAGGGCCTGTAGGGAGGGCCGTGGAGTCAGTTACCTGGGACCTATAGTCCCAGGAAAAACAGAGCTGCAATGACCCTGTTTTCTCAGCTTGACTCACGCATCCACATCCTCAGAATCAGAACAAAACGCAAGGAATTTTCGGCACTCACGGCCGGCCAGATTGCGATAGCTGATAGGAAAGCCGTCTTGGTGTCCTTGAGCAGCTCACAAACCTGAGGCTCCTCCCTGACGGGGTGCAGCCGGCGCACGTGGGTCAGACTCGGTAAAGGAGGACCATGATTCAAATCAACTGCACGTTTGAGGAATGTCCACTAAGCCTGGTCTGCTTCGGACAAGCTCCGTGGACCGTGGTGCACAATGGTCTGCATGAATCCGGGATGGCTCCAAAACCAAGCATGTGCCCCTTATGTATGTTGGAATTCATCTCGTGAACCCGACACAGTCATCCGCGGACCCCACTGGCCGACCTCTGCTGAACATTTGAAAGTCAGACTGTCCTAGACGACGCGCAGCATTCGCAGCAGCGCCAGGCTCGCCAGCAGTGGCAAGCTGACTACAGAGAGGTGGCTGGCACTTGCCAGGGCTGAGGGCCGGCATTCTCTGATGCTGCCGTCCCAGCAGTATCCTGACTGGCAAAGACAAACGCCGTTCACACATGTAGTGTGATCCAGCCAGCACGAAGAGCTGCAAGTAGTCGATGTGTCTCTTTCACAGGCTTCAGCTGTTCGTGTAACGCTTTGCTTGGTCATGACCAAGAACAGCTCCGGGGCAAACGACATTGTTTTGTTGAAGGTCTCGACGAGATCCGCCTCGGCCTGGGTGGTTGGGGGACAGAGGCCACCAGAAATCGGGTCGGTCACGATTCCCGAGCCGTTGACCTTGTTGAAGATCACTCGGAGTGGGAAGGTGTAGCCCTCAGGAACGAAGCCGGTTCTGGCGAGATCATCTCGGTTCATGGGTGCAGGTGGTGTGTAGCTGCACCCTGTAGATGTCTGACAGGAACTGGCCGACGGACACATAGAGATGCCTCGGAAAGCTTCCTCAAGCAAACATACGATACTGCGAGATACCACGACGTGTGATGGCTTTACAGCGAAGCAAACTCAGGCCATGACCATAAAGTCTCCGGCACTGGAGGCACTCCATAAAGTCACCATTCCGACTGCCCGCCGCTGTGACGATGCAGAAATCCGCGTTGTTGTAGGGATAGATTCGCCTTCTCCGATGATCTCCATAGGCATCTCCGTACATGTTGTTGTAGGCATACATGGCGCCGGCCCCTACCACCGCACCCCCAAGGGCATACATGGCAACGTTCGTGGGCTGGTTGGCTGGGACAGTATGGTACCCCGAGTATCCATAGCTGGTCTGCTGCGGCATGGAACCTCAGAGCACGAGGTGAATAGTTGATCTTACGTATTAGTTAGACTGTGCACACTTCTGAGGCTCAACCCAGAAGAGTGCCGAACGGCTCGCTCCGATAATCGCGCCGAGTTGCCACCAAAGTTGTTCATCATCTGAGGGCGGCTTGTGTAGCCGTAGGACACACTCCTTCTTCGGCGAACGTCCGTTTGGCCAGCAGGGGCTCGCCTGCGGCCAGTAGTGGTGTAGGTATTGCCACCTGGGTTGTAGTTTTGGGGCTCTGAAAAGTATTTATGAATAGGTACCTCTATAGGAACCATAAGGGAAATTTTAAAGTTTCTCAAATTGCCACTTAGCCACTGATGCTGGTGGTTCGCCGGCGGGTGGCAACAGGAGCAGGGACCGGCGGAGGAGGGGCGCGGCGGCGCACGGCCCGGCGACGTGGTGTGGAAACCACCGCCCGACGTCGTGGATAGGAGGCCTCGGCATCCACGAGCCCTGGGCCCTTTAGGAGTTTTTCAGCTTGACGGACAAGCGGCGTCAATGTGGACAAGCGGCCGTTGGCGCAGAGAAGGATCGCCTGCGAGCAGACGTCGGAGGGGCGGGCGGAGAGCGCCGGCGGCTGCCCGAGCTCGACCAGCTGCTGCTGCTGCTACTTCTCCTCTCGGGCTATAGCTTTTGCTGCTTGTTTAAACATTTTTTGGCTTTTCCTGCAACTCTCCCAGTGCGGGGTCCCGCCTGCTGCCTCCACGACGACGGGCCGAGAGAATACGAGGCTGAGCCGACTCGGAGGCAAATTCGCTCTCGGCCTCAGTCGGAGATCCCTCGAGCCGCCTCACAGCGTCACAGGTGTCGGCTGCTTCGTTGTAGGTCGCAGATGGGTCGTCACCTCAAGCAAAACAACCCTAGGTGTCGATGCTGCTTGCGATTTGCTGCTTCTGCCACATCTCCTCTAGAGTTCCTGCAGCAGCTGAACTTGCATCAACCGAGTGGCATGTCTCATAGCTGAAGTAGTAGCCGATGCCTAGCCAGGACTGCTTGGCAATGGGGCAGCTGCTGTTGACGTAGCACCAGGAGTCACAGCACCATTCGTGGTCTGAAGAAGAGTTCCAACCACTGTCTGGGTTGTGGTACCAAGTCGCCTTGCAAGCGTTGCTATCCCAGTCGTTGCAGGAGCTGCCGTAGTTGGAGGCGAAACCACTCGGAAGTGAACCAGCTGGCAGCTGCCCGCGGCATTCGCATGCTAGAGTGTCGTAGGGGCATCCTGAAACAGTGTCAGGGTCCATCTCACATCTGGTCTGGCTCCAGAAGTTCCCAGGCCACACCGTTGAAGCGCGAGAAGTGGGACAGGACTTATCAACCCAGCACCACGACATGCAACACCACATCCCATGGTCCGCATCGGGATATGTGATGTGACAGATAAAGGAATCATGCGGGGCACACTGCTGGCCATAGTTAGCGAAGGTACTTGCATTCAGCCCAGCGCTCTCCAAGCTGGCGGCAGGCATCTGCACATTCAAACAGTCGCATGACGTGTCAGTTGCTGACACATTGGGTGTTGGTTGGTACGGGCACTGAGACATCAGAGCCGGATCATCCTGGCACTGACTGTCGGACCAGAAGAGAATACCTTCCATTCCCGGGTTCAAAGATTGGATTGCGCTGGGGCACTCTTTGTCGACATAGCACCAGCTGGAACAGCACCATGTGTCCACTTGATCCGGCCGATAGTTTTGAGCACAGTTCGTCATATCCCAAGAGGCACAGGATTCGCCATAGTTGCTTGCAAACGTTCCGTTCATGGCTAAACTGAACAGGCTGGCCTTGTTCTTACACTTGCACGGGTCGTTTGATTCGGCCACAGCTGTCCAGCTGCAGGGAGTCGTTGGAGGGAAGGTTCTGCAAGCAGCATAGCTGAAGAACTGGCCGGGCATCGCTGTGCTCTGGTAGGCATCGGGGCAATCTTTCGTTGCGTAGCACCAAGGCCTGCAGCACCAGCTGCCAACGGTCAGGTCGCCTGCTTGGAGGATCAGGGACTTAGTATGATTATGAGGGTTTAGGGTTTAAAATTTAGGGTTTAGGGTTTAGGGTTATCATTATGAGATGTTACCTAGTCCGGGTTAGAGGTCAAAAACGAGGTCCAGCCGAACTGCGGCCGAGCCACCCCAGAGTTCATCACATTTGGCATTATCCCAAGCCTGACACTGTGCCCCATAATTTTGGCCATATGTGGCCGCCACTTGTGTTGGAATGGTGGGCATGGTACATCTGCAATTGCTGTCCACGGTGTTGGACAACTCTTGAAGAGTCACGACAGTGTCAGGTATCACCGTGACATTATTCGCGTCCACGATTGAGAAGTCGATCGTCATGGCCTGCAGGCCCACGAAGTTCCGACTAACATCTAAACGAGCATGCAAATACAGTTGATGATATAAATCCTGCAATACCCATAATAAGGAATATACCGTAATTCCTATAGTTGAGGGTCCTTAAGGTAATGCAGGATTTTTACCATCAACAGTAGGTTCCACGAAACTGCCCTAACTTCAGCATTGTAGGTCCAGAGAAGCAGCTGCTACGCCTGGAGTGATCTCAATTGTTCATCCTGCGCCTGCTGACTTGCACGGACAAAGCTGATAATGTACGGGGAGTCCATGTCGACGGAGCTCGTGAATGGGATGTACAGGTTGTAATCCGGCAGTGGAGGAGCATTGGGATTGCTGCTCACAGGCTTTGGACACATGACCTGCACAAATCTTACACGAAGTTCAGTTGACTGCTACTACCTCGTCATTGCGCTGTTCAGTAGCCTCTTACCAAGCACTTCGAATGCACGGACATGAGTCTCCCTAGGCGTCGCCGTGGCCTGCGCCAAATCAACCACATGCATGGTTTCGGAGGCTCGCCCCACGGCAAAGAGACTAAGGAAGAGAGGCCACATGGTGCGGCGAGGCAGTCTGCAATAAACCCAACCTAGTTGTGTCGCAGAACAAAGCCTTGAGCCTCAAAGATGAAGGCGAAGCGATGGTACCGCACAGGCTGAGCAACCAGTCGTGACAAGTCAGCTGCATCACGCTTTTCAGTTCAGCCGATCAAGATTCGTCTTCTGGCCTTGAAGCAGGAGAAAAGCTACCCAAAAAAATCCAGAAACCATGTCGCAATAAACGAGTCTGGTAGCATTTCTTGTTGACCTGCTCATGCAGTGTCGTCTGCGTCCGTGGCTGGATGCACTTTTCTGCAGCAACTACAACAAGCGCAACTCCCAGCATCAATCCAGGTCCGTGCTCCGAGTCCTGTTCGTCTGTTCGTGCATTCTCACACCCAGCATGCTTTCGCTGAACTGATGTTGCATCTCATGACCTCTCGCACGAGTGCCCATTTTGCCACGGAGTGGATGAATGTGCCTGCACTGCGTCAATGGCTGTCTTGCTTCTGTCGGAGCAGTTCACGCAACCAGGGAGTGTGAACGTAGCAAGCATCCACACGGCCTCCTTCCTTCTCGACCTGGTGTAAGCAGTGTATCGACTTACCGCTCAACTGATGCTGCGATAAGAACGGGTAGTCGCTCCAATTGCCGGTGAACGGCAAGCCATCGGATTCACCATCATCCATGTGAAGGTAGTGATAACTCACTGGCAGGCCACTCCAGTTAGCTCTGTGAACTGCAATTCCCACTGCCTTGTCCTCGTTCCACGACAGAGGGGGCCTCATAAATCTTTCTGCGACAGCTCGAAGTAGTTCGGACCCAATCACATATCCGGGCCCACCTGCCATGTGAAAAGGATAGAAAGGAAATGGCCAGTTGTCCCATGGATCGTAGTTAGGACTCTCTGTGTTGTTGAACCACCAGTCGGTCCTGTTCACTATATCTGGAACCCCAGCCTCAGTGCACGCAGGATCAACGAGGCACCATTTTTCAAAGCATGCAAGGCTGAAAAGAATGAAACCGTCAGAATCGTAGATCCGGAAGCACCATAAAAACTCGGAGCCCTGCAGTACTTACATGCAGGAGGAGGCACATAGGCATGGCTTTTGGGAGAAATTTGGTGCAGCCTCGGGCATAGGCGGCTCCAGGCCACGAAAGCATCGTCGTCGACCTTCATGAAGTAGTCCTTGCGACAGGGGCAGATCAAGGCCGCGGAGTGCAGCTTGAAAGCTAGGAGCGGACAGCCCCAACCTAGGTTCGAATCATCAGAAGCAAAGTCTCCGAGGAGGATCGCGACAGGAAGTCCCTCATACCGGCCGAGACCTTCTGGACCAGTCTGCCCTTGTCGTAGCCTTCCTCGCAATCTAGAAGCCGCACGTCTCCGAAGGACTTGACTTCGGCATCGAGCTGTGCAGCGTCGCTGGGCGAGAGCTGCGGCTCTTTGCAGACAACGAACTGAAAGATCACTTTGCACTGGTCGCAGCTAGCATCTTGCCAAAGCTCTCTTGCTGCAGCTCGCCGCTTGAATCCATCTCGTCTGGAGGTTATTATGACCCAGACAGACGTACTTGCAGAAATGGGGCGCATTGCAGCATAGCTCAAGCAGGCTACGAAGATGGCCCCCAAGCTAACCATGCACGCTTGGTTCTTCATCTTCGAGCTGAAATTCGGAAGTAGATGAAGTGTCGAGGGTGTTCAGAAAGTCGGGTGCGTTCTAGTATGTAATTAGGATGTTCTGAAAGTCCGATATCGTGGAAATATTGACAGAGAGCAGACAACACAGGCGCCATGTCTCAATGCACGGCAGACAGACGGAAGAGCAAGCCGGCCTGTGTTGCAGAGGTCGTCTACGATAAAGACGTGCTTTCCTTCAGGATCGCCTTCTGCAACCCGGACTACTCTCTTCTCTCCTTCGCGAACTTTGCTGCAGAAGAGGACCTGACAAGGGACCCGATTCCAGGTAATCACAGTGCGCGGCGGAATGCAGACGGCCGAGGACGAGACAGGATAGCCAGCCTTTTCAAAGAATCCGCCGAAGCGCTTTTTGGCTCCCTCGTCTGGGAAGGCCACCGCAACAGCCTCCAAACCACTCTCTGAATGTCGTCCTCTCGTACCGTTTACTGAAGTCGCCAATGCACACGTAGCATGTGACGAGCCTCGGTGCTGAATCCTTAGCCGTGACGCTTCCGAAAAAGCAAGGAGAGGACACGCTGCCCTCTCTGCAATCGAGGGTCGTGTCTTCAGCAGGTTCAGCAGCAAAGGCATCGCGGAAAGCAGAACTGGAAGGATGCTGTCTTGAAAGTAAAACCTGGACGGGTGCTACACTCGCCAGCAACGAGGCTGGCAAACAGCACTGATCACAGCCCCGACCTGATTTGCAGGGCGTGAATGTCGAAGATCAAGAAGCGAGCAGGTCCGCCGGGAGTCATGGGAACAGCTGAGATCATCCGAGAAAGTGTGGAGGCAGTGGCCACCTCCCCTTCTCGATCTACGCGCCTCAAATTTCAATGAACCCGCCCAAAAAGAGAGAGTCCTATAGCCCCAAAGACCCATCTTTCTTTTCCAATCGAAGTCGCTCCATGGTCCCCGTGGGGAAGAAAGGCAACAGCACCGTCAGGGACCTGCAGCCATATCTTGGAATGGCATAGAGCAGCGAGAGCCTCGGATTGTGACGAGAAAGCTCGCAAAAAAATACTGCCAAGTACTTTAGGGTTTAGGGTTTAGGGATCCTGTGCCAATCCTGATAGGGTTTTGGGGGGGGTTCCTTATGATAGTTTTAGTATATTATACCCCCAAACCCTATTCTAGTTATTAAGGCCCCTGAGACAAGCGGCTGGTCCAAGAGGATCTCTTTGCCTTAGGCGAAAGAATCAAGATCTTCTAAGCTCTGCATGGGGGTGGTGCCCTGTGGCCCTTGCGTCGCATGTTCAGGAGGAGCAGCACGTGGGCAGGCAGCAGTCTGTGAACCTCCTCGATGAAGATGTTGGGCATGCCAGACTCGAACTCACCTTGCTTTTCGTCCGAAGGTTCCGCACGAAAACAGCTTGCCTGTGCATCTGCTTTTTGAAACTATTCTTCTTGCTGTCCGGCATGCGCCAGTCGACTTTCACCTGCAGGGCGAGAGATGCTACCGTACGGCACTGATGTAGATGTGTGCTGCCTGGCCTCAGAGTAAGACTGCGGCGCCAGCTTGATGAGCGCTTCCCTCAGTTGTTGGGGGACCCTCTTCCGTCTCCCCCTTGGCCTCGCACTACAGACTGGCTCTTGGCCGAGCCATGCAGCAAAGGCGCTTGATATGATTCATGGAGGGATGCGAGACGATGATGTACTTGTTGCTAGGCCGCGACTCAGACAAGGCAGCCTTCGCTAAGAAGACCATGCACTGCACCAGCTGCAAGGCCAAGTTGAAGACCCTGCCTCGATTTGACTGACCACCATCTCGCGAAGGTCGGTATCCTCCTGAGGGGCATGCTGTTGTGTTCGCTTCGTTCTAGCGTTAGAATGAATATATATATATATATATACATGTACATATACATATACATATACATATACATATACATATACAGACCGGCCTCAAGCGGTCGCTTCCTGGAGCTTGTTCCCGAGGCCATGGCCGCACACTTGGCTAGAATTCCGGTGCGGGTCCGGAGCACACTGGGCTGATCTGCTTCTTGTCCTCTTGCTATTGGACAGCTACCTTCGTGGTTTCTATGAGGAAAGCTGCATAGTGCCAAAAACACACAGCTCAACATGACAGGATGCATGATGTCTGCAGCGAAGCCAGAAAATCCACTGCAAGCCATGCAAGACGGTGGCCTACACTCTGAAATCCCAGGGCCCAAACACGAGATCTCTTCGGATCCGTCCTGGCAGCCTCAAATTCGGAGCTTTGCGGACTGCAGAGCATCAACTTCTCGTAGGCGGCCTGAAGCGACCGCTTCCCCCCCCCATGGCTTGGAGGTCGAGGCGAGGTAACGGGGGCAGGAGGAAGAACAAATTTAATGGCAGCAGCAGCTGCTGCTGCTGCTGCTGCCGCTGCTGCTGTTGCTGGTGCTGGTGTTGCAGGTGCTGGTCCTGCTGGTGGTGGTGCGGGTGCTGGTGCTAAAACCCTGACGCTGGCGCTGGTGCGATGCTGGTGCTGGTGATGGTGCTAGTGATGGCGGCGACACGGCGACAACCTTGATGATAATGGTGATGACGGTGAAGGTGACGACGCCCACACTGACAACGATTGTGAGAAAGACGATTCATGGTAACGACGATGTAATCGATCTTGAGGAGGATCGAGGAGGAGGACGAGGAGGAGGGGAGGAGGAGAAGGAGGAGGAAAGGGACAATGATAAGACTGAGACTCAGACCCGATCATTCTAATCAGAACAGCGCGTAACCTCAATATCAGAATAGCAGTAGTAGTGCTGGTAGTGGAAGCAATAGCAGCAGCAACTTTATTAATAGCCGTCGCCGTCATCGCATTCGCCGCCGTCCCCGTGCTCCTCCTCGTCGCCAATACTTGTAGCAGTAGCAGCAGCAGTTGTTGTTGTCGTTGTTGTTGTTGCTGTTATTCATTCTTATTGTTGTTCTTACTTCTTCAGCTTCTATGTTGTTGTTGTTGGTTCGGATACTCATAGTGATACCCATCATGCCGGCTGGTGAAAGGACGATACGAGTAACAGCCGCAATGCGTAATGATACCTATCTCATGAAAGACAGCAGCAAACATAGCAAGTACAACTACGACATCAAGCACAGCCACAATCACATGGCGTCTTGGGAAAGAGCCTCACATGCTGCAGCTCGGGGATTGAAGTGGCTCGCAACCTGTCCAACATCCGTCGGCCAATCCACGAAAGAATCCACGAGTATGGGAGTCGTATGGCTGCCAACAAAACCGGCCGCAACAAATTGCCGCAGAATTCAGCTCTGAGGCACCTTGTTGTGTATCCTCCAGTGAAGTGCGAATCGACGCATTTCCTGCAAAGATGGTTGCGAATCAGCGGGATGCTGGCTGCCCTCTTCGCCGCTCGTGTCGCGGCCAGGTTCAGACTTCGGCGAGAGCTGTCCATGGAACTCACCACGCTGCACCTCCGGAACCGCAAAACGCCGCCGCTCGCGGACGCCGTCGTAGCGAAAAGCCTTCGGAATGGGAAACCTGGGGGTACAGCGTCATGGTTCGGCCTTCGACAACGAGTCAGCATCACACTGGCTGCAACAAAGCAACTCCAGATTCTCGGTGTCACTGCTGTAGACCTGAAGCCAACCAGAATTGACTACTAATTGACGAGGCATGCAATGATACTTAAGTAGATTGATCAGAGAGCGAACTTGCGCGCCCTCCATTGCGTGTAAAGCTTATCATTCACAGCTAGCCTAGGTTTTAGATAAGATTGAAGCGCCGACGATTGTTGCTTCTGCCCACGGGTTTGGACTGAAAGTGCAGATGACACCAAAGGACGCATTGAAAGCAAGCGACTGCAAACCCAAGTAGAAAATACGAGGTCCGACTACGAGATCTAAGCAATGGTTGACATGACATGAGACTCAGATGTGCTGGTCCCCACAGAAGCGAGACTCCCAGACTGCAAATCTTGGCTCTTCTGCCTCTGCTTATGGACTTATGGAGGCTGAAACGGCTGAGGGCCCGACGCGAAGAAGACGGATGCCATCGATGCTCTTCAGGGCAGCTCGACACATGGGACAATTCCGCCGTCCTGACGCTCAGTACCCCTCTTGTGACATCAGCCTCGTGCGACTAGCTCGGGTACAGGTGCCGGCCTCCAACTGAAGCCTTCAACGCTTGCATCAGGCCTGAAGAAACAGGGAGCGCTGTGCTTGAGCGGAGTCCTAGCTCTCACTCCAGAAACATCCAAAGGCTGACAATGCTGGAACAAGAAGTGATTCAGCAAGCATGCGATTTTGGACTTCTTGCTGCAGGTGGGTGTAGCGCCATTGGCTGTAGCTCGCCAGCATGCGCATCAATGGGTAAATCGAAGCTCCTGTACACTTGAGCTCAAGCGAGCGCCCTTAACGGCGTCCTCTCAAAGGACGGCGAAGGCTTGCCGGGACAAACAGACGCCTCTGTGCTCCTGAACAGTGCAGACTACAATGCGCTGCCTACAGATCCTGTGACTTTCGGGAATCTCTCGTGCGCATCACTGATTCAGCCCCGACTCCGTGGAAACTGTATGCTGCACGACATAGCCGACAAGAACGCAGTAGTGATGTCGATTGATGTCGGCAACGCACTTGAAGATGAGCGATCACACATGTATAGCAAAATATGAGTTTCATTCTAGACGGCATGGTAGGGTGGCAAGGCTGTTCGAGAAAGGGCCGACAGCGTTGAGAAACCCGGATCCAAGTCACAGGTCAGAAACTGATCTTGCAGGGTAGGCAACAAAAGCACATTAAGAACCATTACAAAGTCAACGTTCTAGAGAAAACATTCGGTGGCCGAAAACAAATCAAGAAAACGATAACAACAGTAGTCGTCAACGTCGTCATGGTAGTCGTTGCGGTAGTAGTAGAGGTAAACGCAGCATAACGCAGCAGTAGTGGTAGCAGTAAAGGTGGCAGTAGTAGCAGTAGCAGCAGTAGCTACACGAACAACCACATACAAGGATTAAGAGCAAGAACTCACAGAGCAACAACAACGGCAACAACACTAAATGACTCATCTCTTCCCCGCAATAGTAAACAGGGGTGGGCTCCACGGCCCCAATAGAGACTCGGAAAGTGGTTGTTATTATCACTGGTAGGTTTATCTCGATTGTCATTTTTGGGTAATTAATTGCAATAGTGAGTAATCAGCGAGAATAATGATAGTAAGTAATAGTAAGAGCAATCATTGGCAATAATTGACACGAGTGAGGAAAGGGAGGGATGGTTGCTTGGGGGTTTTAGTGGGGTTTAGGGTTTAGGGGTTTAGTGGCTTAGGGGTTTAGGGCTTAGCGTCAGGGGCCTTCTATTCTTCAAGGGTCTCTTGGAGTCCTGAAACCCTCCTCCTAATTCAGAATGGGTTTTAAACGGCGGGGATGATTTCTTATTCGCCCCAACGCGTGCTTATTAAATAGGGCGTGTTTCACAAAAGGGGGCATGGATTAACGATAACTCCGCTCCCTTTCAGGAAGCAGGAATGAATATATATATATATAGTATATAATATATACATGTACATATTTATAATATCTATTTGTGCATGTCGTATACACAGACAAAACATATGTGTGTATATACATATATATATATATATGTACATGGCTTCAACCGAGAGCCTTCTAGGAAATAGTAGGCATCACGCTTCCCTGCTCTGCGGCGTCAATGCCGCTACGAGGACCCTCAGCGGCCCGGCCGCGGCACATCCTCGTCCTGAAAGGATTCACGGCTACGGCTTGGCCCCTTTGTTGGTTGTAGCAGGGGTTGGTTCAGATAATAATAACAACAATAATAATAATCATAATAGTAATAATAATAATAATCATAATAAAAATAACAATAATAATAATCATAATAGTAATAATAATAATCATAATAAAAATAACAATAATAATAATCATAATAGTAATAATAATAATAATCATAATAAAAATAACAATAATAATAATCATAATAGTAATAATAATAATCATAATCATAATAAAAATAACAATACTAAAAGGTCTAGGACTTGGGATTTCGGATTGGGGTTGCAGGGTTTGGGGCTTCTCATTAACGGTGGAGAAAGCTCAGGGATAACTTTTAGCATCGGGCCCCGCGTCCGAAGACCACGGGGCTTAGGGCTGTCAAGGTCACACCGGTGAGATTCGAGAACAGTCTCATGTGTGTATATATATATATACACATAGATATATATATATACATATATATATATACATATATATATATATACATATCACAGAGCCCAGTCCATCTCATCGTTGAGTCCAACGATCTGCTTCACCTGCGGGATGTAGTGATCCATCCTCAGACCCAGTGTGCCCTTAAAAGGGAATCTAAGCATACAATAATAATAATAACAATAATAACGATAATAATAATAATAACAATAATAATGTCGCACCGAGCTCCTGGCAAGTTCTTCACGCCTTCTTGCAGCGTCGCATGGGACTGGGAGCAGCCCGAGCAGGAGCCCACCATCTTCAGGTACAGGGTGCTGTCTGCATGGTCGAAGCCTCAAAAAGAAGGAAAAGGCCATAGCCCCCCTTGCTTTGCTCTTGGTGTTGCTGTTAATTCAAGCGAGGAACGCACAAACTCGATGTCGCCGCCGTCTTGCTGAACAAAAGGCCTCACTCTCTCCTGTCCGAAGGGCAGCTTTGCGACTCCGCGCGATTCTCTCTTTTCGCCGCTCTGGGGAACTCTCCTCAAGCAGCTCCAGGATCTCGGCTTCGATGCTGCCCTCTGGGAAGTCCTCACGAAAAAGCGAGGCGAGTGATGAATGGGGGTGGGGTTTAGGAAACGCCCCTGACCTGGGGATCCGTGGACTCCACGGCAGACTCCTCGATCACTGTATGCCCGGCCTGCAAAGGAGGCAAAGCTGGTGAGCTCCAGCAGAGACCAAAACCCACCTCGTAGAATTTGCTGATCTCCCCCTCCACGACATCCTGTCGACTCGATCTTCAACGCCTCTTTGGAACAGGAGCCGATGTATTCCGCCTGGAGATCCTCCCACTCTGCTAGAGTTGATTTCGTCACGGTGACGTGCTCCGCGGCAAGAAGCACCTGGCCACATCACACATGAAGGTGAGCGCAGGCTCAGACATGAAAGGCAAATGCTGGCAAGAGGGAGCTCAACTTCTACACACCCCACGCAATCTCAGCCGAGATACAGCCACCGACAACTTGACAGGATGCTTCTCTGCAGGCGAGCGACTTCCCGCACGCCATCCAACTCAAGCAAGGACTTCGCGAGAGGAGACTGGATAGCCTGACGGCAAGAAGAGTTTTCTTCGACTGGAATGAATAGACGCATCAAGATGCAGGAGGGTATGTGCCGGACCAACAATCGCGCTGGTTGATATCGAAGCCAACACATCCCATGAGTGTGCCTGTGTGCAAAAGACCCCTGCAGTTTACAGCACACGCCTCATGAGGACTGCGAAAGAGCATGGTCCTGCGCTGCGAGTGACAGGATACCATTCAGGCTGTGCACAGGTTGCAGCTTCACAGCCGGTCTTTGTCCCACGTCCAAGAACTTCACCTCCTTCCAAGACGAATTTCATGGACTTCGGATTTGGCGTCGCCTTCCGACAATTCGCGGCACAGACACACAGCGGAAAAATGCTGCCAATGCAGGGCCTCGACCAGCACAGAAACCGGGCGGCAAAGCGCCAGGTGCCTGGGAAGTTCAAAATTCACTCTGCGCCCCTCCCGCGGCACACTGCCAAAAAAACGACAGCGAGCCGAGTGGCATAGGTCCTAGGTTCCTATGTTTCACTGAGGCACGGGCAATTTGGGAAATGCTCGTCGAAATGCTGACATGACGCTGTTGGTGAGGCAATGACTTGCGAATTGCCAAATCTGCTGAAGCATTGTCTGGCTTAGGCTTAGCGGAGACGTGGCTGGCTTCTTATGTGGACAAGCAGCAACTTGAACCAATGATGGCAAGAGAGCGGGTGCTGAAGTCTTGGTCTGTTCGATCAACCAAGTAACTAAGAGAAGACCAGCAAGCTCGGAGGACAGAGTCCTGACAGTGCTAGAAACTGGGATCAAGACAGTGGCGATGAAAGACGTGTCCACAAAATGTGATGGCATTGCAACCTGCACGATGCGCTTCCCCATCGCAAGGGGATAGGATAGGACACAAGTGAGAGTCTTAAATCAGGGCTATCTTGTTTAGGGGTCCGATTCACAAGGATGAACTATTTAGGGATTCTTTGGGGGACCTTCATGTTGTGAAACTCGCACGTGAGTCCCCCACCTTCCCCCCAGCAAATGGCACACTTCTCGTCCTGCCAGGTCAAGAACCCGCAAGAACTCACAGCAGAAGAACTGTCTAGCGTCTAGCCTAGCTGTTTCTACATGTCCACACCCCCAGCAAAAGTCGAAACAAAAAATGAATCGAACAGCTCCTGCGCTTGGGTCTCGAACAAATCCTCGAGGCGTTCAGTCGAAAGCTCTGTGATGGCCTCAGCTGATTGCAACATCTGCTTGACTCGTGACATCGTGACAGTCTCCAACCAACAGGACACCCCAAATATAATATAATCAATATAATATAATATAACATAACATAATATAATATAACATAGTATAATATAGTATAGCATATATAATAAAATATAACATAATATAACATAATATAATATAGCATAACATAACATAACATAACATAACATAACATAATATACTATAATCAGCATCGATGCACCTCCGCCGCCACATCCACCGCCCGGTTGCTGTTGGCAGCGTAGAGGATGCAAGCGCGCGCCTAGCTTGAAATGGAGTTGCCAAAGATCCCGCAGTGACTGCTCGGCGCACATTTTTAGGGTTTAGGGTTTAGGGATGCATCACATCTGCCTTCCCTGCTGCCTTTCGTCTGTCTGCGGCAAACTTGCACACTTAGGACAGCACTGAACTCTGCGCATTGTGACTGGCAAAGGTGAGGGCAACCACAGCAGCAGTCCTGAATCAGATCTGCAGACCAGCACAACAGCATGTTGCATGGCGTATGCACCGCAATGAGCAGCGAATGTGTAGTCTGGTTCACTATTGACAAGAACAGTGTACACTTTCCTCTATCTGCGGCAACTCTAAAGCTGCTGCTACTATCACGGCTTCTAATTCGTTGCCGTTCAGCGCGACTTCGACTACGATTATTTACTACAAGTACTACTACGTCCTGCTATTGCTACTGCTGCTACTGCTGCTACTGCGACTGCGACTGCGACTTGCCACTAAGACTCCTACCGCATCCTACCGCCACTACTACTTCTGCTACTACTACGACAACTACTACTACTACTACTACTACTACTACTTCTACTACTACTACTACTACTACTACCACCACCAGGACTACTGTGGCTTACTGCTGGGAGCTGCTCCTGCAGTCACAGCTGTCGTGACTCATGACTACTATGCTATTGCGTTGCGCATTCTACTTGGGAACAGAAAGCGCATCCTCGTCTTTCCAGTCCCCGGTGGACCGTGAACCAGGGTCACCGGCCTCGGCGTCGAGGCCCCGACGCAGCTTTCGCAAATGGCAAAGAAGGAGAAACGCAGCTGTGCCGTCGTAATCTAGCCGCCACCAACAGCGGAGAAGAACACAGGGGAGAAGGGGTGCAACCATGACCTAAAACCACGGCATTCGCAATGACAACCCCAGTCCTTCCGTCACCTTGCTAGCAAGAAGCGGCCTCTCAGAGCCTGGGATCCGAGCGATGACAGCGCTGACCGAACAGCCTGGCTTCGAGCAGAAATCACGATGGGCGTTACTTTCGTCACGTGAGTCGATTGTATCTGTGAGATTCCCTACCTCGAGCTGTGAGTCGTTGAGCTGATAATGCGAAAGGTCCTGTGAGCTTCCAGCTGGTAGCGGATGCACAGGATCTCAAGTCAGCAAAGTCAGTCCCGAAGGAAGCTGTTGGAGTCGCGCATGGGGTCTGACACGGGTCTCTCTACACCACCATACCTCAGAATGCCCCACGAGTCCACGGACCCAACATCACACCACGAGCTCGCTCCCAGACGCTTAGCCCTGCACAAGATGAGGTTTTGGATCAGCGGTGCCTGGGGCACTTCTCAACAAGGGCACAGGACAATGCCACCTTTACAACTCGATCGGTTCAGGCCGCGAGCGCTCTGGGGCAGATCTGCCAGCGCGGTCCCCTGTCAGCTTGTTAAAGCTGCCACAGAGACTATGGAGTTGGTGTGTAAGCTGCTGGCTTGATAGTGGTATGTCTCCGGGAGCCAGAGCAATTCCACTGCGAAGCCTTCAAGTTTAGCACAACACTCGCAGAGAGCTTGTTGACTCAGCACCAATGCATGATTGGTTCGTGACATAGGTAACCCTGGACCCATCAATATGTGTTCTGTGGAACAGACTGCATGTGTTCGTCAGATCTCCAGAGCAAACCCAGGCAAACAGCACGAAGTCACAAAATCAACGAGCCATGTGAGAAGCCTTGTTCGACATGTTCGCGCGTCTTCGTCCGTCAGAAACCAATCAGCCGGAACATTGTCCAAACCACTCTGCTACCTGGAGATATGGCCTGTGAAACGTGCACTGTGGCACAGTCTATATACATGTGTTGCACCACAGCCTTCGTCTACTGAAGCGACGAAGACTCGTGTGCAACGTTGCCTCCAGGGCTGTTGGCCTTGCGGCTGCTCCTAACAGCACTCCAGGCAAAATTTAGAGAACAGGGTGCACGATGTAGGTGACAAGCATGATCTTTTGCCAAAATACATGCGATAAACTTTGAGAGCAATCACCATACTCCGTGCTTTTAAATGTGGCTGTACTTTCAACATGATGAGGCACGTCTGGGACCCCTCCTGAGAACGATATTCGACAAATCTGTTTCTCAGCTCCACAGCAATGACCAGGAAGAAACCGCATTCTCAGGGACAAGAAGACTTCCCTGCTTGGTTGGCACGAGGGCTAACTTCTGCCGGCTATTGTGCCCCAAGCTGCGCTACCTTATGTACTGCAGGTGAGACCAATGGCAGCTACCGGGCATCTGTAAGTTCAAACTCCTGCTGCCCCATCACGGGGGACTGATTCAAATTGGACGTCAAAAAAATTTCAGCCCCATGATGAATCGGCAAGTGTGGTGGACCTCCGCATCACTGTAGCCGCCTTCTCTCAACCTGACATGAAGCAAGCTTCGAAGATCCGCGAACCTCTCCCCAGAGAGCCCACTACCCCTTAATTAAGGAATATACCTTAAATTATAGGGGCCTTAATATTATGATTTAAGGTATATTCCTTAAGTAAGGGGTTTTTTGGCTCTCCGGGTCTGCCGCCGTTCTCTCTGGGCCTCCAGTGACCAGGCCAACAGGGCGCGGGACACTGAGAGGCGGCGAAGGCAGCGGAGCCTGAGGCACTTACTGCGTCGCATAAACTCGGTAGCAGCTTCCCGGTTCAAAACTCGAAGCTCAGACCGAGACCGGACGGCTCTTGGAACCCTCCTCGGCGCGCATCTTGCGAACGAGATCTGATATTCAACAGGATAGGATGGATAGGAGGAGTTACATTTAACGATCCACAAAAGTGCTTGAAATCTGCCACGGCTCTCCGAAGGAGTACCGCCCCAACTGTTCTGCTAGCTGGAGCTGGCCTGCTACGCCTCGCGGCAAGTGGATCTCTTTCGACAGCAACACGTCTAACAAACAGGCAAAGACGGTGCCGGCCTGAAACTCTCTGACTTAAAAGCTCACATGCACGGAAGGCAGCATTCTCCTGCGACATTGATGCACCCGAAACTGTGCCAATGGTCTTCTGAACCACTGCCAAGCGAAGCGTTTGTCATGCCCGGTGGCCTTCGCTGCCTGCTTGGAACAGAAGCTGCGGCCCTTCTCGCTGGTCGCTTCAACGATGACAGAATCTCCCAGAGTAAGCGTAACCTCGATTGACTTCGGGCTGCTGCTATCCAGGGACATACGAAGTGGAAGCATGTAGCAGCCATAGCATTGAAGACAGCCGCGAACGCATGAAAGGACATGCACGGAGCAAGTCTGAGGCCTGTGCTGTACAACTGAATGCAGGAGCCTCTGTGGTTCAGATCCAGCCATGATGGCAAACTGCAAAGTGCCGAGAGATGCTGAGAGCCCCACCATGGGTCCTGGCACAGGCTTCCGCTTCAGCTTGTCCTGATGATCCCGGTGCAGCTTTTCCTTGCGCCAGACATGCCAGTCCGACGGAAAGCGATCAAAAGACAAACCCTAAGCTTAAAGCTCTAAACTGAAAACCCAAAGCCTCAAACAAGAAACTCAAAACACAAGCCTAAGTTCCGCCAAGTCTTTCGCCGAGCTACTACCATGGCTTGCGCTGCGCTTTGCTCGGCGGCTTTCCTTGGCCCGCGGGTATCCGGCGACTTGGGAGATATTGCCATACTTGAACATATTGTTCGTGACATACTAAGAATCATTGAAACCCTAAACCCTAAACCCTAAGCCAGAAAAAGAAATTGCTTATGCAGATTCGGTGGAAGCATCTTGGTGGGGCAAGCAGTGCCTAGCAGTGCCGACGGTTGCAGCACGTTGACCTCCACGGAGGTGACGAATGGTGGCACATCCGCCTGCATGACACGGACATGTTGCAAGTTATGAGCTGTATCTTATGCAAAACACTACTTGTTGTGTACATATATTGGATATTAGGTATTAGACACTAGCACTAGCAATCTAACAATATGTGCTAGATGTTAGGAATTCGATAGCAGACAAGACTTTATATACTACATGTTAGATAGATAGATAGACAGACAGATAGATGGATGGATGGATGGCTAGTTACTATACTGAAACTAGATATAAGATACTACATGCTACATACTAAATCTTACATACTACATCCTACATCTTACATACTCTATATATATATGTTACAAGTTATATATTATGTGTGATGAACTATGTACTGTATATTATGTGCTATATGTTATACATTACATATTGTATGTTGTACACGACATACCATATGTATATATGTATAGTTATCGTACATTACATTCTACATATCTGTTCTTTACAATTCAATAGTGCTTACATGTTACAAAACCTGTGTGTTAGATGGTACAATGTATATGTGTATATATATATATGTATGTGTGTGTATGTATGTATGTATATACATATATATGTATATATATATATATGTGTGTGTGTGTGTATATGTATGTACGTATGTAACGCATGCATGCATGCATGCATGCATGCATGTATGTATGTATGTATGTATGTAACGCATGCATGTATGTATGTATGTACATATGTATGTATGTATGTACGTATGAGATTGTGTATGTGTTTGTGTATGTGTATATGTATGTATGTATGTATGTATGTATGTATGCATGCATGCATGCATGTATGTATGTATGTATGCATGCATGTATTTATACAGATTTACACATATATATATATATATCATATTACGTAATGTAAACTAAAATTGCATGTATAGGCTTACCTAGTATATGTTGTATGTTATTCAGTAAAGGGTATGTAGTGTGTAGCATATCATATATACTACAAATAGATAACATACAGTGGATAATACACAAAAAACCTTTTGGTATATGAGATACACTATATATATATACACACACCTATAGATTGCAAAATTTAACATGGTATTTACACCTTACCTATTGCCTAACTCTCTATCTATCTATCTATCCATCTATCCATCTATCTATCTATGTATTCATGTATCTATCTATCTATACATATATATATACACACACACATAGACTCATACACACCAGCATCGTTCACTGCGCATCAACGCTACCTTACACCGCACACATGCACACGTACCCCCGAAAAATCGCGATGCTACGAGTAGAACAACAGAGATCGTGGAGCGCTGGAAAGCGGATACAGTTCCACGCACAGCAGTACCAATATCAAATTATTGCAATTCACGGCAACATCCAGGAGCAGCCAAAGGAACGGCCTGCGTCTTGAAGATCACATCTCCAGGTTTCCTCAGCTCTGCACAGGTCTGGGCACACTATGAGCAGCGACTTGTGCGGCCTTGGGATCTGGCAGACCAATGTCAAAACGGTATCTGCATTTGACTCAGCAGCTGCAGAAAGCTTTGGCAGCCAAGTGGCAAGGTGCGACCCAACAGCTGCCTAAGCTCCGGCAGTCTCCGCTTTCGCTCACACGCGGCCCGTCGCACCCAGTGCAGCAAAGCTGCTGGAGCTGCTCAACCAGCTGGCCTGCATGCCAACCAAGCTTGCAAGGTGGACACATGACAGATCTGCGATCAGACGCCTTTGTAGTTGGCTGTGACAGCCTCGGCTCCACTGCAATGCTGGCTGTGAGAAACTGCCCAGACAATCAAACTCCGAGGAGCCTGATGATGATTCGGAGCGGAAGGGTTCTTCAGCTGGAGAGTCCTCACTGGCAAGAGCCTCGACGAGGTGACTATTGGACTTCAATGCGGCTGGCAGGCGGCTGGCACCCTCAAGCGACTGGGGCTGGTGCTCTTGCAGTGCTTGAAGGGCTTTTGCAGCTGCCGCTTGCTCCTAAAGAGCCGAACTCGTCGGAATTGATTGTACAGGTAGGAGAGTTGCGGATGTGCCTTTCTAGACGTGTGTTAGAATGATGTGGAAGCGGGCTCCGCTGGCTTCTTGGCGCTGCAAGGCTGACCCAGGAAGCGTCGACCTGGTGGCTGGCTTTTGCCTCAGACATCAAGCCCTCACTACTGGAACCCTTCACTACCATGCGCTACTTCCCGTTACCGTCTGCTGACATCACATCGCTTGACTCTTTGCAGCTCTTTTTCGTCCGAGATTACGAGCTTGAAAGTCCAACCAGCATCTTCACCAGGTGCAGGGCAGCGCAAGTTGGGCTGGGTTGTTAGATCCAAGCCGGTGCCGGGACATCGCAATGCAACTGGCTCACATCATAAGGCCTTTCACAGCGACTAGGAGCGGACCATCTGCCATTCGCCATGCATTGGGTCTCCGAGGCTTGCAGCCTCGGGTCGATAGAGCAGTGCTTTGTCGACCTGAGGTTGCCGGCCTTGAAGATCCGATTTGCATCTTGAGATTCTGAGTGAGGCACCAGAGGCCGGTTCATGTGTTCATGTTGCTGGCTCAGGATGATGTCACCCAGCACTGCGATCTGCGACTCGCCGGGGTTTCGTCTCAAACACACCCGCGGGACGGAACCGACTCATCTCGTGGGCTTGGGCTTCCCGTGGCGGATCTGGCGGAACATGCCGGAAGAACTCTGCGGGTGTGGGGAGCATCTATGTCTGCAGGTGCCTGGAAGCTCTCCTTGGGCCAAATGTGGAGATACGCTGTCGGTAAGAGCCGGGCATGCAACTGTCAGCATGCGCCTTCTGCAATCGAAACTAAATACAAACCTCATCCAAACATGTCTGAGGACTGTACTCCCGAAGAGAGTGTCAGGCGTCAAAGAGACGGATGCAGTGAAGGGAGCCGCTTCGGAGACTTCGTACACCACATCCCCCTTGACGACAGGTCCTGATGCCGATCATGTCCCAGGCTAGAGCATGGTCGAGGACAGATAGATCTGCATCTGGGCATCTTTTCAAAAGACGATGGAGAAGATTGTTCAGCTGCCCCTTGAAATTTCCGCCTCAACACCGGCAACAAGACAGAGAGCCGAAGAGTGTCAGCACCGGCTCCGTGAACCCTAAACCCGAAACCTACGAGAGACGCTTAGGCAGCGGCTCCCGCAAGAGAAGTCGAGCCCGCGGCCTCCGTCCTGAGCTGACAGGAACCATTCGACGGGCAAAACTAAAAAAACCAGTGCCTTCAACACCAAACGGCCGTGGCGGGCAACACCATTCTTAGCGGCGGCTACTACTACTCTCCTCCTCCTCCTCATCCTCCTCCTCCTCCCGCTGCTGCTTCCGCTTTCGCTTTCGCTTTCGCTGCTCTGCTTCTGCTTCTGCTTCTGCTTCTGCTGCTGCTGCTGCCGCCACCATGCTGCCACCACGACCACTGCAGAACTGATTCTGCTCGTATTATTCGGGCCCAGCTTCAGCCCGGCCAGCCTTCTCCAAAGAATCCTGCGCAGCATCCAGAAAGCCGAAGTCCCATCGAAGAGACAGATGCGGGGACATTGCCTGATTGAGCGCAGAAGACGACAACCTGTACATGTTCTCTCACTCTAACTGTCTCTGCTTCGGCACACTCACTCACTCACTCACTCACTCACTCACTCACTCACTCACTCACTCTCTCTCTCTCTCTATACATATATATATATGTGTATGTATATATATATATAGCCACAACTCATACAAATCATAGGCTCGAGGCCTGAACTTGATCGCTGCATTTCTGCCTGACACGAAATCCCAAACCCCGAACATTCGCAGGCATGCCTTGCCATTGGAATTTGGATGAATTGTTGTCATGCTAAGTTTGATGTGCGGGTATTTGGGTCGGTGTTGGCAGTGTCTTTGATCGTTACATCAATGAAGTGAAGAGTGGACAGAGCTTGGGGGCGAAAGTTGGAAGTGCAGCAAAAAAAAAAGTAATGTATGCAGAAGGTGGAAAATCAACAACTGGGAAGGCGGAAAGGGCTTAGACCGGAAAGGGGTTCTGGGCCTTGAACAACTGCAAAGAATACTGGGACGTGGAGCACGGATGTGGCTTGCTGGTTTGGTGGAGATGAGACGGTTTAGGGTTTAGGTGCTTGGGGTATAGGGGGATCAGAAAAAAGTTTCCCTAGAGCACAGCCTCCGGATGCACTGTGCCGGCATTGGCAGCGCATGTTCAAGTACACGCGGTGCAGAGTCAGTTTATGCACAATGCGATACAGTGCTATGCTCTATTCTATCATCTTGAGTTCTGTGATAATATTGCATGCCGCCACTGCTCTAGAATCTCTAGAGAAGGACCCAGTCTGCTTCGCATAGCAGTTGCAACAGAGCTGCTTGGCACCACTCGTTCAATGTAGAAATGCTCTCCGGGCCTGGGTGTGGCAGCAAGACAAGAACGTAACCCAAAAAAAAAGGGGGCAAAAATGCGTTGCAAGCAGCTGGGGTCACCAGGAAGCTTCCAACGCTTGGAGTTGCAGGTCTTTGAGCTGCCTGAAGGGCCTCAGCACGGGGAGGAGTTGATGAGATTCATGCGGCTCACAGGGTTAGAGATTGGCTGGGGAGCGCAAGTTGATGCGAAGCCATGAGAAGGGGAAGGTGTCAAGCAAAGCGTTTTGTCTTAGGCTTGAATTCTACAAAGCAGTCGCTGACCCAGGGCACATGTATGGGTGAAGATCAATGCTAGGGTTCAGTGCGCTCACACACAGTTTGGATTCTGGCGTTTGCTAGCTGACAGGGAGTGCGGAGCAGGCTGTCTCGCTCGGGAGGCGAACTTGGCCAATCTGGCAGTTGCAAACTCTGCACAGGTGCTGAGAGGCGCAATGAATTATGTTATCTCCTGCACTGGAACCCTAAACCCTAAACCCTAACCCCTAAACCCCTAAACCCCTAAACCCTAAACCCTGAACCCAAAACCCTAAACCGTGATCATGATCCAGCGCTCCTGAAACTCGATTGGCCTGAAATACTTTTTTGAATCCAGCGAAGACCTGTTTGTCTGTGGGTGTGTGTGGGTGTGTGTGCGCGCATCTCTGACGGTCAAAGTCGCCAGATACTAAGGGTTGGGGAAGGGACTCGGCTCTTGGGCTCAGCGGCGCCAGAACAATCATTGTGCAAGGAGTGTAGCTCTCTGGGTGATCGGCAAGCCCAGAGGAATCGATCCGCATTTGAAAGACCTGCTGGAGATGGAAACAGCCAATGCCAGTGCAAAGGCAGCATGCCATACCCGTGCCTGCGGTGATCGCCGACTTCATGCCATTGGAGCCTCTGTAGCTATGGCCTGCTAGCAGTCCAGCATTGGTAGCGTCACCACCTGGCAGCTTGAGCCACGTGCCACGTCAGACCTGTCGTTGGGCAACAGCTCAGGTCACACTATGTATAATATATTATATATTATGAACTATATACTATAAGTTTAAGAAAAAACAATATATATATATATAGTATATAGTATGTGTATATATATATATACTATATATATATATACATACTATATACTATATATTATATCGGAGACATGAGGCCAAGCTCAAACAGGCATCTTCGGAGCTGCTTTTTCACCTCTGCGCATGTCAAAGCTCTCCTCTTCGAGACCTGATCTCCTCGAGACACGAAGCAGGAAAGTCGCATTTTGGTGGTATATGGTATATAATAAATAATAATATATAGTATATAGTATATAGTATATAGTATATAGTATATAGTATATAGTATATAATAAATAATATTGAATTTATAGTACATAGTTCATAATATATAGTATAGACGCTCATCGTTAGCTCCAGGTCCTCCACGGCGTCCCGTGCCGTGCTCCAGAACTCAGAGTCGGAGATGGAGTGGACGCGCTTCAACGACGGGAGGATCTTAGTGCCCTGACACAAGCTTCGAACCATCTCACAGATGCTCCGCAAGCTGCAACATGCACGGCGCGCCTTTCCCAGGCGGAAGATGTCCTAGAAAGAACAACACACTGCAGCAGGTGCTCCCAGTGCAGCTGCAACCAAGCACATGCCGCTGCCAAATTGTCCAAAGAAGGCAACAGCTGGGTCGGTCCTCCATCTCTGGCCTGCACTCTAGGAAAAGCCCACGGGAGCAAAAAGTCATCAAGAGCCTAAACCCTAAACCCTAAACCCAAAACCCTAAAAGAGCACTGCAATGTCAGAAGCCTGACGGACTTCGGGAGCCCGATGGGCTCCCTGCGCAGGTAGTCGAGCGACCGCTCCAGTGCCTGCTGTTGAAGCGTGTACCATTCCTCTAAGTCCCTGATGCTGGCGGGTGGCCTCCAATCCCTGGCGATCTGCTTGGTTCAAGAACTTCAAGCCCTCGGTGACCCGAACCTTGACACGCAAAGGGGGACAATGTGGAATCGTTGCTCATTCAGCACTTAGGCGTCCAACCCGAACAACGTTCCACTGCACCAACGAATCCCACAGCTCCTCCAGATCGTACGTACTCAGCGTGTCCAACATCATTCGTGAGGGAAACATGCGAACACAATGGCTCAACCCGTGCTCCTGGCGCGACACTTTCATGTCATCGTTCATGTCGTGGTATGCAACTGTGTCCTCTGCCTTGAAACTGATCACAAGCTCCTGAGAGGCTTCGACACACCCTGTCGCTCAGGCTGTCTGCCATCTGCGGCCATGAACATGCCCTGCCCGTCGGACCTTGTGCTTCATGAACTCCGGATCAGGGAGCCGCTTCAAGGCCAGAGAGTCCCGATGCCCGAACCAAGCAACCGTCTCCTGAACGGTGATCTCTCCATCTGCGTCCGTGTCAACCAGCTGCATGATCTTTTGGAGTTGCTCCTCCATCTTCTTGGATTTACTGCTGGGCGAGATTCCGCCAACCTCAAACGTGACGTACCCTGACCAAGCCATGGCCACGCACTGCCCCACTTCAGCGGACAAGGAGAGCCTTGGCAGAAAAGCCCTTAGGAATTGAACCGGCTGCGGGAAAGCATACTGGAGCGTCAGGGCGGAGCCGCACTCCCCATCCGCCGGTGGCAGCGTGGATGTCTCATGCAAGTAGCCCGGAGGCCAGATCACCGCAGCCTTCTCCTGGTTTAAGAATCCCAGGTCGGGCTCCCACTTTCCGGCCTCGTAGACTCCGCCGTCAAACTCATCAAAGGAGTCCAGAAAAGACATCTTCGGCAACATCATCTTGCGCCATCTTTTGTCCCCTCGCAACTGCAAGGAGACCACGGACTCGCAGTAGCCATCGGCATGGGCCCCCGCGCCGCAGTGCCCTCCTGGAGAGAACCAGACCTCGAAGCTCCGATTCATCTTTGCCTGGGTTCTTGTTAAGGGATTTAACTTAAGTTACCATTATCAGGAAACCATATTATTTACTGTAGATCCCTATTATGGGAACTTAAACTAAATCCCCTGACGAGACAACCCAGTTGCTTTGTTCAGGGGATCCTGCAGGAAGGCTGGTGCTTCGAAGCGCTGTTGCACAATCCGCTTCTCCTTCGCTGAGAGCTCATCCTTGACGTGCCACACATAAGGCCCACGCTTGGGCTTTAAGGGGTCGTCCGCGTACTTCTTCGAAGCAGGTCTGGAGTAATTATGCCACCAGGTCTTTCCGTCTGGCTTGAACGAGCCTAACTTGAACCGCAATTCACCGTCGATCACCTTTGTATCGTGTTTCTTGCGATCAAACCCAGGAAGGTCATGTATGTACTCGGCCTTCATGTAGCCAAAGGGGAATTTCTCGGCAAAATCCTTGCAAGTCCACCCGGCATACGTCATCCCGTCGGCCCAATCAGAAACGATGATGGGGTAGCCACGGCGGGCGTGGAAGAGGAACTCTTCTCGAGTTGGCTTGGTGAGGACTACCGGCTTCGGAAGGCCCGTTTCGTCCCGCTCTCCGCGCTGCCCAGGGAAGTACTCTTCCAGCGTCGGCTCCCAAAGTGGAGGCTTTGTGAGCGTATCGAGGTCAATGTCGAAAAGCTTCTTGCCCGCAGATACTACGGCGAGCAGACAGGTCTGCAACCTGAGCAACACAAACTGTATATGATCACCTGTCATTGTGGCTCAAGAGCGCCAACAACCCACTCTTAGGTCAGGTCTTTGAGAACATCATGGCGAGAACGTCATGGCAACTGGTGACGAACAACTTTTGAATGCTATGTATGCTTGTGCCTCTGTGTGTGTGTGTGTGCGCATATGTTGGTTGCTTAATGTAAGCGCTCAGATTGAACTTGATCTTAATCCTTTGGTTCAGTCCTGAGCGAAAAGAACAGAAGCAGAGCGGAGACGAGACTCTGCAGGTGGCCTATCCTTGCTACGGACCACGAGAGCATCCAGGCATCCTATCTGCTTCAGAAACGACCTGCCTGGCGTGGGCTCTTTGCTTCGGAGCTCCTGGGGCAGGCCCAGCGTGTTGGATACCTCCCACGGGCCGAACGACCCCGACGCAGCACTTAGCATTTGAGCCACTTGTCGCATGCTGCAACAAGCCTCGCAAAGGTAGAAGCGAACCTGTGGCGTGAGAACGTTCTCGGCAGAAAACGTGCTTGGCACGCAGGCTGAAGAAGTCAAAACGAAAAGCAGCAATCCGACTTGTCCGCCTGCAAGGAGTCTCCAAACTTGTCGGCCGACTCCACGATGGCATGCCCGACCCAAACTTCTGAAGGACCTGACATCGGGGTCCCTTTAGAGCTCTTAGCACCGCCAGGGCCTGCATTTTCCCCCCGGGCCTTCACTGTCCGAGTCCCCATAAAGCTGCTTCAGCTCACGGAGCTCATCGTCAGAGCAGATGCAGCCCTGCCCACGGGGGGACATCAAAAAACGCTGAAAAACCCGATGACCAGACACCCGAGTGCCTCGAATGGCTCTTTTTGTTTATGGTCTGTTTCCGGAGTCTCAAACATGTTCCGAAGGATGAGGCTTTGGTCTCCCCTCAACGAAGCTGCTTAGCCTTTCCATGGAAAGGTTAAAAACCAAACCCTGAACCCTAAACCCTAAATACTAAACCCCTAAACCCCTAAACCCCTAAACCCCTAAACCCTAAACCCCTAAACCCCTAAATCCCTAAACCCCTAAACCCCTAAACCCCTAAACCCTAAACCCCCAAAATCCCAAACCCCTAAACACTTCAGGCCCAAGGCAGAAAAAACCCGCTAAGCCCTATAAACCCTTAAAACCCTATAAACCCTGTAATCCCTATAAGCCCTAAAATCCCTATAAACCCTTTAAGCCCTCTTCTCGGGCTCGGGGCCTTCTCCGATGCGTCGTCAACGAGCTTGGAGAACTCCGCCAGGCCTAGGCCTTCTTCCTGTCGGCAAAACTTGGGAGTTTTTAGGGTTCAGGGTTTAGGGTTTAGGGGTTTCAGGGTTTGGGGTTTCAGGGTTTAGGGTTTAAGGGTTCAGGGTTTAGGGTCTTAGGGTTCAGGGTTTCAGGGTTTCAGGGTTTAGGGTTTAGGGTTTAGGGTTTAGGGGGCCTGATGTGACATACGGATTCAGAGAGAGGCTGACCAGACTCCCCTGCTGCCCTGAGTCTCTTGGCGTGGTGGGTCCGACCCTCCCCCCCCCTCCTTCCCCCCACCCTTCTTTCGGGGCTGCTGTGAAGGCGAGGCAGCGCAACAACGTGGTCGGTATGTTTCCCGCTTCCGTGTCCGAGAAGAATCAATGCGCTGCTGGTGAAGCCGCCCAAGGACAAGAAGCTTACCTGCACCCGAATCCCCCCTGGAAAGAATCCAACCTCGAGCCTCCTCCCTCCAAAGAGGTCCGCAAAGAGTGGAAAAATGGCAGGTCATGCATGAGCCAGTGATGGGGGCCTCCGTCACTCCGAACTCCGTGCAGAGCGAAGCATACTCCCTGGAGCTGCACACGGGAATCGGCATATGAAGCAGTCTTTCTTCATGCAAGCGTACCACAATGTAAGCAGCAGGCTTGGACCAATCTTCATCAGTCCCGTCAAAGCCTCTCGGACTGACTCCACAGTCTGTCTGCGGGTCATTGCAACCGCCCCCCAAAGGTTCAGAGCCCACCTGTGAAGGTCGCCAGCTTTCGAAGCTCCTTCTGATTCAGCCGCTCGGAGAGACTCGTCAGAGCTCGGAAAGCTTCCTGAAAAAAGGCAGGAGCGGCCCTTCTTGACACGACGTGGGCCACATTTGGCTACACTTCGACCTTGATGAGCACCGGCCGCTGTCGAGGCCCCGCCGGCCGCGGCCAACGTAGACCTCCCAAAAGGCATCCCGCAGGCCGGACCTATGAGACAAAAAAGCGACCGCCCAAGGAGGAGGCAAAGAAGATCGTCGGGTCTCAGTCGGAGTTGGTGCGCCTGCTACACTCTTTGGCTTAGGGTTGAGGGTTTAGGGTTGAGGGTTTAGGGTTGAGGGTTTAGGGTTCGGCGTCTGGACACTTCTTGTTCCGATTCACTCAACGACGGCCACTGGCCTACCGTTTGGTTGCAGAAGCGAGGGTGCACCTGCCTCGATCAAGTCCACTGGGACATCGAAGGCACCGGACAAAGTGGATCTGGCAAGCAATGACTGTCTGCTTCACCCGGAAGTGTTCAATCCATGAGCTGAAAACGATTCAAAACCAGTGACGGTCTCCAAGCCAGCAGCACCCCTCGAAGAACCGCACAGCAACACCGTCCAGAAGGCGGCCGTCACTCTCAGCCACAGCAGTGCTGGCAGCCTGCCCAGGAATAAGTGTTACAAAGCCAAGGGCATGCCCGGAAACGCTTTCACGTGTGCATGTATGTTTCTGCTCAGGCAGCACAAAAAGTCCGCGGCTCCAAGAAATGCAGGAGTGCAGCAGATAGATGAAGCACTGCCTATGAAACAGCAGGCTATCATGCGGCACGCCAGCCAGAAGTTGAAATCCAACGCTGCGGGGTTCGCAAAACACTACAGCTGTCTGTCCCAGTCGACAAGTTCAAGAACAGTGTCAAAGTGTTTGAGCAGCTTATTTGAGCCGCTACTTCCAACATCTGCAAGGGTAGCACGACCTGAGACAGCAAGCTGCGGCAAGTGCCTGACAGATATGTCTACAACCTGTCTCTTAAATGGACTCAGGTTCAGGGAGGGCGAGACTGGAAGCCGTGCATACAGGAGATCTCGCCTCTACATGCTTTCGGCCTCGCCACCAGAATTGGGTTAACAATGCAGCACCGAGCTGCCTAAATCAAAAGCACTACCACCTCCAGGCTACGGCGCCATGGCTGCCGAACTCAAGCTACAGACACTCGCTGCAGCCATTCTGCGACCTTGACCTCACAACGACCAGCAGCAATGCCGACCACATCGGCAAGGACCACCACCTTTCTATGCATCGCATGAGTCAAACTCCCCGCAAATTGACACACCAAGCCTTGGCACCCAGAGCCTCGCGGCCTGCAAGCTGCTGGGCGACAAGATATGGCATTCTAGGGTTTTCGGGTTTAGGGTTTAGAGTTTAGGGTTTAGGGGGGGCATGTAGCCAAGAGCCAATCAGAGAAATTTGACCTCCCCCGCCTGAGGAGTTCAGGGCGACGGAGGCCGGCCTCTGGCCCACGAGTTGCGTGCGATTCAAGGCCAGGAAGGCGTAGCCCGCAATCGTCGCACCGGCCTCCTCACCTGGCTCTTGGAAACCCCCCCCCCTGATGGCTCAAATGGCCCCATAATTTTCTTCCGAGCGCTGCACAAATCTGCTTCAACGCCAGCGCCGTCTGCCCTGCGATTCCCACGCGCCAACGACTCAAGATGATGCAAGCACAAGGCGAGCCTCTCGATCTCTAATCCAAGCAAGTTACACCAGAGCCGCTCAACAGAATCTATGGACTGCCTGAAGCCAAGAAGTCGTCCGCTATGAGAACTCGATCGCTTGGGCCGAAGAACTCGCCGGAGACGTTAAACATGCCTTGGCTGCTCGAACTTGACGTTTCGTCGCCACACTAAAACTTACATCGAACTTTTGATTCAAGTAAATCGGAGCCCTGCCTGTAGGAGCTTGGGCGCTCAGAATCCGCTGACCCTTCATGGTCAGCGGTACAGTGTTGCCTTGCTGCGGCAGCCACTCCATGAACGACTAAAGACAGAAAGACCAAAAGAGCACAAGGGACTCTAGTTTTTTTCAGCTGAAGAGGCATTCGTGCATTCCTGAACTGAGCCCAGAAGCGGGCGAAGATCATCGGCACTTCGGAATGCCTGGCCACGACGTACGCCACCGACAGGCCCTGCACCGGAGCACCTTCTGTCAGCTTCACCGTTGCACAAGGAACTTAAGGGCTCACTCAGCGATTTCTGACGAGCCACCTGTCAGGACCTTGGTGACTCCGGCAAACTGCGCAGCCAGCACGTCACCACAAGCATCGAGCAGAACTGGGTCCATGCTCATATGCTGACCCAACACCTGGGCCCAGATCGAAGCACACCAGAGACAGCGCAACTGAGCTGGCCACAGGTTGGCGCAAAAGCAATTGAGTGGAGTGCTGACCTGAACTTCATGGCGTTTGCTGCCGCATCGATCTCAACTTCCTTGCTCATTCTCCGGACGAGATCAGTAGCCACTCGCACCCAGGTGTCTCGCGCAGGCTCAGGGCAGCGGAAGACTTTCATCCCTGCATGACAGCGTGAGAGAAATGCGACATTTCTAAGCGGTGTCACGCTGGTCTCTCATGACCCATGCCTTGATCATCCATCGATAAGACTTTCGTGAGGGCCACAATGCTGTCCTGAGTGCACTGAGCAATGCTCAACTTGGGGGCATATCCAGGAACGCTTCCGCTTCCGCTGCCTTTGTCTTCAGGCCGGAACTCTCTGCTGATGAGGCGCGCAAATCTGCGGTCGCGCAGCCAATATTTTGCCCCGGCCGTGCTGGAAAACCTTCAGGGAGGGCCCCTTGATTTGATGGAAACACAGTTCTAGTCTGCTTCCAAGCCTTCTCCACGAGAAAGCCTGCACCAACAACCGTAGCGCCAACCTCGCAAATCGGCCCCACTGCAGCATCCGGAAACACGAAAGCTCAAGCTTCCATGATGTGTGCTCGCCATGATTGTGCATACGCGCAAGTATCCGCTTCGCTCCTGGTCACAGAGGTTCTGCAGTGCCATGGTCGTGGCTCCATTTCCCAAAATATCATCAATTAGCAGCACGGCGTCGTCCTTTCGCAGGTGGTCCTAGGTCCAGTAGAGGAGTCATGCAGCATCCAACAACTGCTTCAACAAATACAGAAGGGCCAAAGGCCTAGCATGCAAGATCGAAGCAAGGCTCGCGAAAGATGTGAAGAGTTCCTCGCGCCGAATCCGTGCTACCCTCGACTTTTGCGGAGATTGTGCCACCCGCGACTGCCATAACCTTGCTCAGCTCCCTGCGTGCCTGAATGCAGGAGCCATGTGCAGATCGGGAAGTCTCTCATATGGCTGTAGCAAGACGCAGTCAATGCAGTCAAGAGTCACAGATCAAGGGCACGCGAAGTTGTATTGCCAAAGCCAAGGCTGGTGCAACACCGGACATTTCAGCGGTCAGAACAGCCGTTGCCCGTGAGTCTACGAAGCGCTTTGCCAGCAGCGTGGCAGCCTGATCCATGAGCCTCGTGTCCACCTGTGAATGGCTTACGTTTGCCTGCCTGCAAAACCGTCTGGCATGCATCTAGATGTGCATATCGCAAAACGACACCAGCCGAGGTGCAACGTGGTTCAGGAATGAAGACGCATTGATCATGCCTCGCCCTTGATGCCCTTGGGCAGATGACAGGACTCGGTTGATCATTACCTTCCCGTCTGCAGGTTGGATGGGTTTGCAGTCACCGACCACCTTGCAGTCCAACGAAATTCCCTCTGTGGACATCGCTTCGATGCATGCAAGTGATACGATGCGGCCGTTCAAGTGGGGAAGCTCCCGCAGAATCTTTCCACGACCATCTTGGAACCGTTTTTCGACGAGGAAAGCCATCCCTGTGACTTCAGCCTTCGCCTGCTCGACCAGTCGATGCAGCGCTACGCCAGTGGTGCCCGTGGCCAGAAAATCATCGACAACCAACACCACCTCGCCGGGAAGCAAGGCCTCTTTCGTAACATAAAGTACCAACTTCTTCTTCTTGGTGAAGCTTTCCGAAGGAGCGCTGTACATAGTCTGCATGACCACCTCATCGTTCTCATGCGTCTCCCGGGCACAGACAAGCGGCACACGCAAGGCCGTTGCTACGGCATGTGCCGGAGGGAGACCTCCGGTTTGGGCTGTGAGCACCTTTTGCACCCCAAAACCTGCAAAAACCCGCGCCAGCAGCTGGCCACACATGTCCATCAAGCGCGTGTCAACTTGATGGTTAACAAAGGAATAAACCTTGAGCAGATTTCCTGGTAGCACCTTCCCCTCTCGCATCACTCGCTCCGTCAGAACATCTGCCGCAACAACCTCTGGCAGTTGTTGCTGCTGGACCGCAGGGGCAATGCAAGGCTTTACATCCACAGGGCCTCCTGCACTGGGCTTGGAAACCTTTGCCAGGCTCTCGAACTTTCCTTCAATGGGACTGCCCCTACCATTTGCAAGGCAGTTGTGGATGATCGCACCGACCCCAACAACTTTGGCACCAGCCTTCTCGCAGATGGTTTTCAGAGCACTGACTGTTGTGCCTGTGCTGACGACATCATCTATTATCACGACCCGGTCCTCTGCACAAATGGCACTCGAAAGTACCCAGTGCGTGCGGCCCTGGAGAGTTGCGGAAAAGGTGGCATCACCATTCCAAGTCTCTGGGACAGAGGGATAAGCGAAGACTACGGGCATTTCCAAGTGCCTCGATGCTGCCACGGCTGGCAGGAGCCCCTGGCTACTGCAGCCAGCCAGGATCTTGGTCGGCTTTGCATCCATCAGCCGATTTGCTAAGAGCGCTCCGCAGCTGTCCATTAGGACAGGGTCCACCCTGTAATTCAGGAAATCAGCGACCCGTAAGATGCCATCCGGCAACACCTCTGCTTCATCTTGAATACGCTTCGTAAGGGCATTCAAGGCAAGCGATTGCACCTCCAAAGCCATCAGGCGCGAAGAAGGGCACTGGCCGACGATGAAAGCTTCAATGCTAGAACACAAAGGGACTGGAGGTCTGGAACCAAGTATTCCGCTGCATCGTGTTCAAAGAAACAACGACTAGTTTGTGTGTGTGTGTGTTGTTGCGCACTGTCACTGCTCCGACTACACGTAGATGCTTTGCTATTGAGGTGGCAGCACTCACAGAAGAGAGCTGATGCACAAGCTGCATTGGTTTCAAGCGGCCTCCTGCAACAAGAAGTTCGGAAGCTCCAAGAGCCCACAAAAAATTCCGCTGCCATGCAAGTGAAGCCTCGGGCCTCCATGAAATTGAGCTGGCGCCAGGCAGCCGCGTAGCTCGCAGAAGAAGGCCACCTCTTCGTCTCTGCCTGCTCGGGCAGGCCCAGGGTTTGAGCGCTTCTTTTGCCAGCATCTGGAAGCATCATGCAATTTCTGGGACGGTGGCTGGCCATGAGACATGCTCCGACTCGCCCTCCCTGCGTCTTTGGAAAGCCTCTCAAGTCTTAGCTCTTAGAGCGATGCAGGTGGAGGAATTACTGGGCGCATTCCCGAGGCCTTACGGTTCCCCCCTGCCTTCAGCGGTTGCTCCCGGTGCTCAAGGCAGAGGTGCACCTCATCACACGAGATCAGCCTCCTTCAGCAACAGGGCCCTGGCCACAACTGCACAGCTTTCGGCAAACCCCTTCCTTGCATGCCATAGCACACGAGGGCCAAGGCATAGCAGCTGTGGGCAGCTGCAGCTCCTGGCTAAAGGATTCTGTTTCCAGCATGCAGCGTTGTAATGCACCAGCATCAGCATCACCATGTTCTTGCTCCAACTCAGGGGAACAGCGATGATAATTGCAAGTAGTATTCTGGATAATATGACCACTGGGGAGAAGTTGTGTCGTTTTGTCATGCTGATACTGCTACTGCCTCTGCTACTGCTGCT